GGGGGGGGGGGGGGGGGTTGACTCAGAGGAGACAAACACCATCAAAGGCCTTGCAGAGGATCTCCGGCTTCCTGGGGACTTGGTGGAGCCGGTGGGGGCTGGGACAGGAAGCTAACTAGGGGACTTACCCAGTTCTGACAACAAAACCACCACTAGGCCAGTCCTCCAGCATCCAGTCAGTCTTCCACTCCCCAGACAGGTGGCTGAGGAGTCTGTTGCCCCTAGTGGGGCCTCGCCCACACTGCTGCCCCCGCCCACCCCGGGGTCTGCAGGTGCTGAGCAGGGGTGGGAAGCTGAGGATAGTTTCTGAGCCTCAGGATAATGGTTTCTACCTGGGCTCCCTGATGCCTGAGGCACAGGTGTCTCAAAAGCAGTGCCAGGGGTAATAGAGCTATTTCCTGTTTTCCTCATTTAAAAACTCCTTATGTGCATGGACCGTTTTTTTAAGACTGCACAGGTAAGTTACAAGGTTACATTTCTTTGCTTCAGGCCAGAATTATGTAAACTCAGTTGGCATTAGACAGCCAGAACAAATTGCTGCTTAATCAGTATGGTTCAGTGAAGGTCCACCAGAGGAAAGGCAAAATATATTTTTTTGAAGTGCTAAAAGTGACCCTGAGCAAGTTCCTTGATCTCCCTGTTTCCTTACCTGTGAAATGAGGATGATGACCCATACTTAGGGAGTTGTTACAAGAGTCAATGGGATAAAGTCTGTAAAAAAATCTAGGTGCCTGGCATACAGCGAGGGCTCGATTAATTCTAGATGCAATTCATGGTCATTCTTATTAAATGATTGGGAACTACTTCGGCAACTTCTGTTCAACCCCAGCTCTCTAACACATGAGCCAATTTGCTAGAAAACCATATGGACTCCTGTAAAACCATTCGAAGTCCCCTGGCCCTTACAAGCCTGGGGGAATCAGACGGGAAGGCCATTAAGTTCCAAGTTTCCCCTGAAACAATCTAATAACCCCTAAGGAGGTCCTCCCTAGCCCTGGCCCGTTGGGGGTATCAGGATTCTGCAGGTGACTCTCAAAGCAGAAAAGTCATAAGGGACAAGGGCAGGTTAGACTGGACCACTGAGGAAGGGACAAACCCCCTGTTCCCTCCTGAGAGAGCAGCAATCAGGGTAGCAGAAAAGAGTCTGGGGTCCAAGTGGACCCCAAGTCTAAATACGACCCAACCACAGAACACCTGTGCTGAGATGAGGCTGATTCAGGGAGACAGACAGCAACACAGTGTTCAGAGCTGAGAAGTGGTCCTCCCCTGGCCAAAAGAGCTTTGTGCCTAGGTCTGCCTGACCTCACTGCTAGTAAGGACTCTAAGGCGCCTGAGTGGAGAGGGGAACAACCTGGACAGTGGTAAAGGAGGGGCAGAGCAGGAATGTGACAAGATTGCCACCCTTGAAGTCACCAGAAAGCCTGTTCTCCCTGGACTTCTGGCAGAGGTCACTATTAATATGTATTATCATTAACGGTACTGCATTTATCGAGCACCTACTGTATGTCAAACCTTACACTTAATTCTGTACACGAATTATCTCATGTAATCACGGTGAGAAATCTAAGAAGGTTACTATTATTATCGCCCTCGTTTCGCAGGTAAGAAACCTGAGGCTCAAAGAGGTTAAATTAGTTGTTGTTCCAGGTGCACAGCGTGGGCACCTAGCTCATGAAGTGACAGGGCAAGCCCAGTGCCACCCACACCATCTCTGGTTCTTTGCCTCCAGCCCTGACTCATTTCTCCAGCCCTCTTCCCTCCTCTGCCCTGGGCATGTGGGGAGAAAAGGAAGAAAGAGAGGCCCACAGGTGGGTGCTGGTACCCCTCACCCTCACGCCCATTTCTTGTTGCAGGAAAGTGAACAAGTGCTACCGGGGCCGCTCCTGCCCCATCATTGTGCACTGCAGGTGCGTGAAGAGGGGCTGTGGGCAGAGGTGGGGATGAAAGGGGACAGGACAGCCCAGGCCAGAGGGCTCTGAGGGGGGGCACTCATGATTCCTGCCCTCTCTCTGTCCCCGGGTACATCTCCTGTGCATGCTGCCTGCCTTGATGCTGGCAAAGTAAAGCCCATGGGCCAAGTTCAGCATACCATCTGTTTGTTTTTTGGGTTTTTTTTAGTTTTATGTATGTGTGTATGTATGTATTTGAAGGGGGAGGGGCAGAGAGAGAGAGAGAAAGTGAGAATCCCAAGCAGGCTCTGTGCTGTCAGTACAGATCCCGATGCGGGGCTTGATCTCATGAACCATGAGATCATGACCTGAGCCAAAACCAAGAGTTGGACACTTAACTGACTGAGCCACCCAGATGTCCCACTATGTGTGTGTGTGTGTGTGTGTGTGTGTGTGTGTGTGTGTGTGTGTGTGTGTGTGTGTGTGTGTGTGTGTGTTTTAATGGCCCATGAGCTAACTATTGTGTTCACATTTTTTTTTTTAACGTTTATTTATTTTTGAGACAGTGAGAGAGACAGAGCATGAACGGGGGAGGGTCAGAGAGAGGGAGACACAGAATCTGAAACAGGCTCCAGGCTCTGAGCTGTCAGCACAGAGCCCAACGCGGGGCTCGAACTCACGGACCGCGAGATCATGACCTGAGCCGAAGTCGGCCGCTTAACCGACTGAGCCACCCAGGCGCCCCTGGTGTTCACATTTTTAAGTGGTTGAAGGAAAAAAAAAAAAAAAAGGAATGTATGACAGAGACTGTACTTGGCCCACAAAGGAGAATGTGTACCCTCTGGCCATTGACACAAAAAGTTTGCTGAACAAAAGCCTGGTCAGAGGCTGGAAGGGGCGGTCCCATCCCCTCCTGCTGCCTTCACCTTAAGACTGAGCTGGGGATCTCCTCTTAGGTTGGCCCACTACCCAAGTGACACCCCATGGGTCACAGGCTCCCACTCAAGTCCCAGTTCCCAGGGCCAAGGGGCTATGACTGCTGCCTCCTTAGCTCACTTACACCCTCCTCGAGCCAACCCTAATGGCTCCACCAGTGTCTTCGCCACCTTAAGCCTCCCGTCTCCTCTGCCCCTTCCCCTTTTCTGCCGGGTCCTGAGCTGAGCCTGTCATCCTCTCCTGTTTCAGCGACGGTGCAGGGAGGACTGGCACTTACATCCTCATTGACATGGTACTGAACCGCATGGCAAAAGGTGAGGACCTTCCCCACAGTACCTGCAGTCCAGCCCCTGATCAGACTTTCCAGAACCCAGGCTCACAGGAGCTCTAGGAGGGACAGGTTGTTACACCCCCAGGCTTTGCCCAATCCTCCAAGCCTCCCGACCCAGGATGCTCCAGGCGTTCTGGGTCCTATCCTCCTCTGGACAACCTCCTCTCCGACCTCCAGGAGTAAAGGAGATTGACATCGCTGCCACCCTGGAGCATGTCCGTGACCAACGGCCCGGCCTCGTCCGCTCTAAGGTGACTGTTCCTCTTTGCCTTGACCGTAGCTGCCAGCCTTCCCCAGGAGGAATTCCCCTTCTCCCAAGTGACCTCCCCAGCACCCCCTCCCAAAAGCGCCCCTGGTGCACAAGCAGAGGTCGGTGCTCCCCGTCACCATCCTCCCACTGCCCTCCCCCAGGACCAGTTTGAATTTGCTCTGACTGCTGTGGCGGAGGAGGTGAACGCCATCCTCAAGGCGCTGCCCCAGTGAGACCCCTGGGGCCCCTCAGGGGGCAACAAGCCTCTGCTCCCTCTTTGCCTGTGTGAGCATTCATCTGTGTACCCACTCCTCACTCCCCAGCCCCACAACCTTGGTCCCTCTTGGGCATGGCCAGCCATCCAAGAGGAGTGTCAGGAAGGGGGAGTGGGAGGGGGCGCCTCTCACACGTCAGAGCCCAGATGTCCCATGGGGGGAGCTGGCAGACAGCCAGGAGCCGAGGAGAGTCATGGGCAGCAATTCCACCCAGAGTCTTCTCCTGCCTGAGTTCCCTGGCCCCGTCTCCTGTTCTGGAAGCTCCCACTATGTCTGTGTGGACAGAACCGGGCGAAGGGCCGCCACCCCCAGCCCTTCCTGCTTTCCCAGCCCCTGCTGCCTGCTCCCCTACCTCTGTGACGCCCCTGCTCTGGCCCCCGCCCTCCCTGCTTCCCTCAGGCCTCCTCCCCCGCCCTCCTGCCACGTGCCACTCAACTCTCTCCCTCTGGCACAAGAGAACATTTCTAGAAAAATCTACTTTTGTATCAACGTGAAATAAAGTTAGTGTGTCGTGTGTGCAGCTGCAACCTGGACTCCTACGCTTTTCCGGAGGCTCTGCTTCCACACTCCGGCTCCGGCCTCAGTGGGGAGCTGGGCCCTGCTGCATTTCGCAGGAGATGCAGATAGTGATGGGTGAGCCAGGCTGCAGAGTCTGGTTCTCAAGCCCTGAATGGTGGCCAGGAAGGAAGCAGTTCTCTGTGCAGTGCTTCCCATGTGGCTGGCAGCCTCTCTCCAAGGCGCTCACATACGCCAGCTTGTTGAATCTTCAATCACTAGCCTGAAGGAAACTCTCCCAAGGTAATGCAAATTGTATATAGTGGAGTTTGGAGTCGAACCCGGGCATGCTTAACCTCTTTACTGCCTCTCTTAATTCTAGAACAGCTGCTTTGTTCCCCTCAGCCTCAGGAAGATGTACATCGTGCAGGACTGAGGTTAGGACTGGGCGAGGTGGTACGGGCAAAGTGCCAGCACAACTTAAGCAAAAGTAGAACTCTGGATAGCAGCTTGTAGATCAGGCTTATGAGACATCACTACAGGCATTCACCTGGGGGCAGGGAGCACTTTCTCCCTTTCTCCACCCGCCCCCAACCCTTCTCTCTGTACGTTCCAGAGGACCCCTCACCTGCATGTCAGGAGGCATCCTTGGACAAAGGTGGTGGACATAGAAATGAGGCAAAAAGAGCCTTGGGCCTGGAGCTACTTGGGAATTAAGGCCTCTTAACCTTGCCAAGGCTGTCTCCCCTCACAGGAAAAACAGGGGCGTACATCTGCCCTGCACAGTGAGCAAAGGGACCAGCAGGCAGACCGCAGCGCCCCCTACACCTCACCTGTGCTCTGCTGAGGCTCAACTCCAGTCTCAAAGACTAGATAGAAATGGGCAAAACAGCTATTGGTCAAACTTCCAGCAGATTCGCTCTTTCGAGACAGGGGTTTTAAATTCCTCCTTCAGGGCAGGTGGCTTCCTTGCTTTGAGGAAAATACAGCATAAGCCCTTTGGCAACTGAACATGAAGCAATGCACTTTTCCTGGGATGAGAGAGGGTCGCTGGGGAGCCACACTGCTCTGCTTGACAAGGGAAAGCTGCTTGTGCCATGGCTGGAAGGGCATCTATGAAGTTGCCTGGAGAGGAGGGAGGGGGAGATCCCTGGCTTTGTCCTCCCTAGGCCCTGATGAGTTTGGGGGGGCCTAGACTCTGGGTGAGGTGGACTTGGGCCACTCCATGCGGGAAAGGCAGGCCTTTGAGACTGGCCACTGGCCTTGAGGTAAGGGAACCCGGCAGGGCTCAGTCTATGGGCCTCAGGAGTGTGTTTTTGCAAGTTATCAGGACGTGTTTCGCTACTTTCTGCCATCCGCATACTTGCAGCTATAGCTTAGTCTGGTCCTGGCTGTGCTGCAGCACATCGGGCGGCAGGTCCCTGCTAAGGGGAAGCAACAGCTGCCTGGGGAAAGCCACTTACAGGGCCACAAGTGCGAGGGCAGAAGAATATGAGCATTTCTGAAGATTCGACAGTGTACGGGGGGAAGGGCAGCCTGGTCAAAGAGGGACTTCTGCTGTCAGCTAGGAAGGCTTGTGACCTCTAGGTGTTTGGGCAATGGGGCGGGTTGGTGGGGGGAGGGGGGGGCAGCATGTTACCCTCTGGTCCCTAGGGTCCCTTTGGGGCCACCCTGGAAAGGAAGAACACAGGAACACAGCACAGCACTGAGCTCTCAAAACAGCTTTATTGACTTCCAGTGTTTCTCCCTCTGTCTGAGCTCAGCCCAGCTGGCTTTGATAGGTCTCTGAGATACAATGTCACAGGGTTAGCACTCTGGCTCCACCGCTCCCCTCCCTGGCCCCTGGGCTCCCCAGGCAGGGAGGAGGAGAGGCAGCTCGTTTGTGTTGGGAGAAAAAGGATGGGCAGCAGGGTCAGAGGCCAAAGAAGCCATACAAGCAGCAACATGCCCAGAGCGCCCATTACACACCAATCCTGGCCATGCGTGTGCGTGCACACACACACACACACACACACACACATACACATACACACACACACTCACTCACACTCCTTCCCTTCCAAGCTCTCTGCCTGCCCACACCCATCTATCAGCCTTCTGGGGTCATGGCCCGCTTGTTGATCCTACCCGGGCTTGGGGCTTATTCCTTGGAACCCAGGACTGCCCACAGGGAAAGAGCCTCTTCCAGATGCCGCAGCGCTTTGATTTGTACGCTGTAAGCCCGGTGCCAGCAAGAGGTGTCAGGGGAACCGAAGCTTGGTCCATTACCCCTTCATCCACATTCTTGCCACCCCAGCCAGAGTCAAATCAGATGACAAGATCTCCCCATCTCACAGCAAGTGACAAGCCGACCTGGGCTAGAACTACATGTCCCAAGATGCACAGCTCCACAACCACGCACCGCTTCCCCCAAGATGATCTATCAGAAATGAGGCAGGGTGCATTGCATTCTGGGACTTGTAGTCCCCCAAAGACAGCACCAAACACCCAGGGAAGAGTTCACAGGCTAAGACTATGGATGCCTCCCCACCCGGCCCCCCACCCACCACCCAGGCCCAGCTCTACGCTCAGCATGGGCGAGAGAGAGGAATGGAGGGTCCCCTCCTAGTGCACAGGGGAGGGCGCTGTCCTGTTGGAACTGTGCAGCAGCTCTGGATCCGGGACATCCAGCTCAGAACACATCTGAAGAGAGAGCGGGGGCGGGGTGACAGGAGAGATGGTGAGCAGCAAGCCGTGGAGGATGGGGCCAAGCATGCAAACCTGGGCTAGCCCTGTGGCTCCTCCCTGAGCCCTGATGCATGGTGAAGCAGGACGGGGCACAGTCCCCTCCTAGGCCTCCCTCCTGGGGCACCCTGGCCTTATCCCACCTCTCCAGGGATAGCGGCCTCACCTCTGCCTAGTCCCGAGGCCCTGGGGCAGGCTGAGGCAGCAAGAGGAAGGGAGGAGGAGTGGGCTCCAGTTCCGAATCTGGACGAGAGGCTCCCGCCCCACCCAGCTAGCCTCCCCAGAAGACCTTATGGCCCTACCGGCCACAGCATCTTCCTGGTCACACTGAGGCTTTCTCGGGGAAGGAAGAAGGGAGTCCTAACCAGATGGCATGAAAGCAAGCGATGCGGCCCGCGGGGAAGTGCAGAGAGAAGAGAGCGAGGGAGGAGCAGCAGCACCAGAAGGGAAGCAACAGAGACGTCAGAGCTCAACGCTGCACAGAAACCAGGGTGGGGTGTCTGCAGCTGGACAGGGAGCACAGGAGACTCCCCGGTGTAGCTGCCGACTCCGGCTCAGAGAACCCCAGGCCAAGTCCTCCTTCCTTGAAGTCATCAGCAACACAGGTGGCAGAAGACCTGGGCACAAGAGGCCCGACCCACACCACTAATGCCCTTTAGAAACTCCCCATCTAGTAGGAATAAGTGCATCCTGGCTCCTGGGAGGCCCTCCCACTGCCCGGAGGCCCCCCCACCCTGGGCTGTGCCAGGGACCTATCAGCTGTAGGCTGAGCAGAACAAATCCCGAGTCCACCCTGCAGTGCGGGTGGACATGGGAGGGAGACCTACGGGGGGAGCACGCAGTTGGAGAAGGGCTCCAGCAACCCAGGCCGTGCCCCTCTGCTCCCAACAGTGAGCAGGACCCCTGGTGGCCCCGAATCAGGACGGTCTGGGCCTGGTGATCAGAGGATGAGGCAGCGAGAGGACTTCTCCTCCGGGGACGGGCTGGGTTTGGTCGCGTCCCCCCTGGCAGCCTCAGGAGCCCCCCCCATGCCGGGATCTTGGTCCTGAGCCTTGGGCCGCCCCTGCCGTCGACGCTGCGCCCCCCGCCCACCTGCCGGTTTCTTCCCAGCTGCCTCCATCTCTGACAGGCTGTAGGCCATGGCGAGCTGCAGATCTTCATCATCCTCAGAGAGGTCACTGTCAGAGGGGCGGGAGACAGGGGTCTGCCGGACCTGTGTGCCCCCGGACCTGGAGGTGACAGACTGTTGCTGCTCACGCCGGCTCAGCTCCAAGCCCAGTGCCAGGTCGTCTGGGACACCTGCAGGAATCACAGCCGCTTGCGACCCAGGCCAGGGGAACCCTGCCAGGCTGCCTCAGGCAGCAGCAACTCTGACCACTTCCAGCCCCTCCTTTGGAATTGGCCCGCATGCGTTTTGGCACTTAGCACGGTGATCATGCGCACCGGCAGGTACTCAGCTCCAACAGGTCCGAACAGTCTCCTTGCCCGGGGCCAGTTACTCAACCTCCCTAAACCTCCCTTTCCTCATCTATAAAATGGAAATGATGACACTGTCTGCATTGTCAAATCGTTCAGATGACTAAATAAGACAGCCCTTGAAGCATACTTAGCACACGGGGCTCGCAGAGCTATGGAAGCAGAGCTGTGGTGACCAACCCATTCCTGTGGGAAGAGTTCCACCCCAGGAATCCTGCGTTCTGAGTGTCACGCCTGGCTTTACCCCTTACTAGGTAGGACAAAGCCTGGGGCTTGGGGCTATTTGGGAGTTAGGATCATTGAACCATGCTGAGGTTCAGTCTCCTTCCATGAAAAATAGGGTGAAAACAAAGAAAAGTAGGGCGAGTACCAATAGCCCTGCTTTCCCCCTGGCTGTTTCAACAGAGGTCATGTTATGTACACAAGTCCTTTCAAAATTGTCAAATGTTGGGGCGCCTGGGTGGCTCAGTCGGTTAAGTGTCCAACTTCAGCTCAGGTCATGATCAAACGGTTCATGGGTTCAGGCTCCACACTGGGCTCTGCACGGACAGTGTGGAGCCTGTTTGGGATTCTCTCTCTCCCTCTCTTTCTGTCCCTGCCCCACTTGCTCTCTCTAAATAAATAAGTAAATAAACAAATACATAAATAACTTTAAAAACATGCTGGGATGCCTGGGTGGCTCGGTCGGTTAAGCGTCCAACTTCCACTCAGGTCGTGGTCTCACAGTTCGTGAGCTTGAGCCCCGCATCAGGCTCTCTGCTGTCAGTGCAGAGCCCGCTTCAGATCCTCTATCCGCTTGCCTCTCTCTCTCTGTCTCTCTCTCTCTCTCAAAAATAAATAAACATTTTTAAAAAATAGTCAAGGGGCGCCTGGGTGGCGCAGTCGGTTAAGCGTCTGACTTCAGCCAGGTCACGATCTCGCGGTCCGTGAGTTCGAGCCCCGTGTCAGGCTCTGGGCTGATGGCTCAGAGCCTGGAGCCTGTTTCCGATTCTGTGTCTCCCTCTCTCTCTGCCCCTCCCCCGTTCATGCTCTGTCTCTCTCTGTCCCAAAAATAAATAAA